CCAACAGTATATTAATGTCTCGGTTTTCCATAACTCCCTCAGACATTTGTCATTTTCCTTTTCTGTCATATTAGCCAATCTAATTGGTGTGGGTTGGTATCTCAAAGTTGTTTTAATTTGCATTTCTGTAATCAATATTAATATAAAGCATTTTTTTCACATGATTATAGTTAGCTTTGATTATTTTGTCTGAAAACTGCTTGCTTGTTCATGTCCTTTGACTACTTAATCGTTTGGGGAATGGATCTTATTTCTATAAATTTGATTCAGTTTTCTGTATATTTGAGAAATGAGGCCTTTATCAGAGAAACTTCCTTTAAAAAAATTTTCACAGTTATGATTACTATTTCCTTCCATCCTGTTTTCCCGGTTTATCCTTCTCTCTCTCTCTCTCTCTCTTCTTTCCACCTGTTCATCTTCAAAAGTGTTTTGCTCCTAACTACTGCCTCCCCCAATTCTAGCCTCCTTTCTATCAGTGCCCCCTCTTCCTTTTCTCATCTCCTTCCTCTCCTACTTTCCTGTAGAGTAAGATAGATTTCTATACCCATCTGAGTGTATATATTGCTCACTTTCTGAGCTAATTCTGATGAGAATAAAGTTCATGTGCTTCCCCTCCTCCCCCATTTTTCCCTCCATTGTAAAAGCTCTTTCATACTTCTTTTATGTGAGATAATTTACCCCATTCTATCTCTTCCTCCCCCTTTCTTCCAGTGCATTCCTCATTCTCACCCTTTAATTTTATTTTTTAGATAATCATCTCATCATATTCAACTCACTCATGCCTTCTGAAAGTTCTTAGGAGTTATAAGTATCATCTTCCTATATAGAAATGTTTTGAATCCCTTATGATTTCTCTTTCCTGTTTACCTTTTTATGCTTCTCTTGAGTCTTGCATTTGAAAGTCATATTTTCTGTTCAGCTCTGGTCTTTTCATTGGGAAGGCTTGAAAGTACTCTATTTCATTGAATGTCTATTTTTTGGTATGAAGGATTATACTCAGTTTTTTTGGGGTAAGTAATTCTTGTTTATAATCCTAGTTCCTTTGCCCTCCAAAATATCATATTCCAAGTCCTTTGATCTTTTAATGTACAAATTACTAAATCTTGTGTTATCCTGACTGACTCCATGATATTTGAATTGTTTCTTTCTGGCTGCTTGCAATATTTTCTCCTTGACCTAGGAGATCTGGAATTTGGCTTTAATATTCCTAGTAGTTTTCATTTTGGGAGATTTTTCAGGAAGTGATTGGTAGATTCTTTCAATTTCTGTTTTACCCTCTAATTCTAGAATGTCAAGGCATTTTCCTTGATAATTTCTTTTTTTTTTAATCATGGCATCCAAGTAGTCCAATAATTCTTAAATTATCTCTCCTTAATGTATTTCAAGGTCACTTGTTTTTCCAGTGAGATATTTTACATTTTCATCTATTTTTTTAATTCTTTTGATTTTGTTTGATTACTTCTTGATTTCTCATAGAGTCATTAGCTTCCACTTGCCCCATTCTAATTTTTAAAGAATTATTTTCTTCAGTGAGCATTTATACTTCCTTTTTCCATTTGGCCAGTTCTGCTTTATAAGAAGTTCTGTTCTTCAATGAATTTTTGTATATCTTTTTCCATTTAGCCAAGTTCTTCTCTTCATTGTGTTTTTGTGCCTCTTTTACCATTGGCCTATTTTATTTTTTCAGGTGTATTTTCTTCAGTATTTTTTTGTGCTTCCTTTACCAACCTATTGAATTTTTTTTCATGATTTTCTTATATCACTGTCATTTCTTTTTCCATTTTTTCCCTCTGTCTCTCTTATTTTAGTTCTAAAATCGTTTTTGAGCTCTAACAAGAATTCTTTTTGGGTCTGAGACCAAATCACATTTTTCTTTGACGCTTTGGATATCGCAGTTTTGACTTTGTTGTCTTCTTCTGAGTTTGTATTTTGATCTTCCCTGTCACCATAGTAACTTTTTATAGTCTGGATCTTTTTCTGCTGTTTACCCATTCTTCCATCCAATTTCTTGACTTTTAAATTTATATTAAAGTTGGGTTTTCCTCTTAGAGTGGAGGGGCCATGGTCCCAAGCTTCAGGTTTTTTATGCAGATAGTTCTGGAGGTCTGTAAGCTTTCAGTTGCTTCAAGGTGGTAGGATCCAAGTAGAAATGTGTCCTTACTTCCCTGGGGCCAAAAGAGCTGGCTTGTTAGTACTCTTCTCCCTTGGACTTTGACCCAGGATCTCCATATGGGCAATGCAACAGAATCCTGCACCCAGGGTCAGCAAAGAGACCTCTGTCTCTCTGCTGATCGGTTGTCCAACCCTCTTATCACTGATTCAATTGCTCTCAAAGTCTGCTGCTGGTTTGTTGATGTGCGGCCTGCTCTGGACTAGGCTGTACTCTCACCCTGGCATGATAGATTATTCCTGCCAACTTTCTAAGTTTTGGGGGGCTGAAAATTGTTTCATCCTGTCCTTTTGTGAATTCTGTTGTTACAGAATTTGTTTTGAGGTGTTATTTAAAGTTGTTTGGGAGAGCTCAGGCAAGACTGTCTTTTCTCCACCATCCTGGCTGTGCCCCAAAAGTTGTTTTTTTAAAGGAATGAGGAATGTTTGAACATTTTTAAGTAGCAGAAAAGGGACTGGTAATAGAGGAAAAAATGAGAGGTGAGAAAAGGAATGTATGAAAGAATGATAGATGGGAACTACTTCCAGAGGAGTCAGGAAGTCTGGGTTCAAGTGTACAAATAGATGAGTTACTCTTGACAAGGAGAGTGACAATTATTTTTCTGAGTCTTAAGCAAAAGAAAAGAGGACAAGGTGAAGATGTCTAGAGATTGTGGTGTGGAGGTGAGAGAGTTCAAGACTTTATCAGTTTCTTCAATAAAGCAGGAAACAACGGCATCTGGTAAGAGCAAGGCTGGTTGGAGTAAGGAATTTTTTAGAGCTTGGAGAGCTTTTGACAGCTACTGTAAGGAATGTGATAATCATAGGTAGATAAAAGGGTGGCCAGGCCACTGGGAGGGCACGGTTGATGTAATAGTACAAATAGTGAACCCAGTTATATATTCATGATCACCTTTGGCAGTTCATAAGTTACAGAGGATAAAGTAGATTATAGAGAAGATCCAGTGTTAGTGATAAAATCAGTCTCTCTGTGAAAAGGAATAGCTATTAAAAAATGTTTGTCGTATGAATTTAAACCTTAAATTTACATATCAAAAGGGTAGAAAACAGAAAAAGATTAAGCCAGAAACCTAATTAAGAGATTCATGAGGGCAGCTGGATGGCGCAGTGGATAGAGCACCAGCCCTGGAGTCAGGAAGATCTGAGTTCAAATTTGGCCTCAGACACATGATACTCACTAGCTGTGTGACCCTGGGCAAGTCACTTAACCCCAATTGCCTGGCCAAAAGCAAAAACAAAAAAATAAAAAATAAAAAAAAAGAGATGTATGTTGGTCTTTCCTGTGCTGTCTTAATTCTATTTGTTTATTTAACAAGCATCTGTTAATTTTACTATGTTAATATTACTGTGTGCAAGGCACCATGGTAGATTGAGGGCTACCCTGAAGAATCTCACATTCTAACTAATGTGGAAATATGTTTTGCTTAATTTCACATGTATAACCTATATCAAATTGCTTACTGTCTCAGGGAGGAGAGAGATAAGGGAGGGAGGAAAAAATTTGGAACTCAAAAATTTTTAAAAATGAATGTCAAAAACTGTCTTTACATGTAATTGGGAAAAAATAAAATATTTTTAAAAAATAAAAGAACCTTACATTCTGCTGTCAAAAGTGTGGATGACACTGAAAATGAATTTAAAATGAATGCAATCTGGATATGAAATCAATCAACAAGCATCTGTTAAATGCCTAGTAAGTACTAGAAATACAAAGACAAAAGTGGAAGTAAAAAAAAGTCCCTGCCCTCAAGGAACTTACATTTTAATGGGGATATGATATACATATATAAGTATGTATAGAATATATGCAAAATGAGTAAAAGGTATTTTTGGATGGAGAGCACTAGCAATTAGGGGCATCAGGAAAGTTTTCATGAAGAAAGTAGTGCCTGAGTTGAATCTTGAAGGAAACTTAGAAGGAATTCTAGGAGGCAGAGGTGAATAGGGAGTACAGTCCAGGAATAGAAGATGACAATGCAAAGGCACAGTGACTGGAAAAGAATTGTCATATGTATCTAACAGCAAGTTGGCCAATATGGACGGACAGCAGACTGCAAGGAGAGGAATAAAGTGTAAGAGAACTGGAAAGGTAAAATAAGGTCAGGTTGTAAAGCTGCAAATGTCAAATAGTAGAGTTAATTTATAGTTGCTTTTATAGACAGTCACTGAGTTTGTTAGCTATGGGGTGACAGGATTTATGAAAATCACTTCTGCAGCTATGTGGAGAATGAATTGGAGTGGGAGAGGCTTCAAGAAGATAGGGAGACCCAAGTAGGAAGCTATTATGGTAGTCTAGTTAACAGGTGATGAAGAGGGCCTAAACTAGGTGTTGGCTTTGTAAGTGGAGAGGAATGGGTATACCTAGATAGAAATGACAAGATTTGGAAGTGAACTGGATATGTGGGGGGCTAGTGATAGTGATGGTGGTTGTGACCTTGTGTAGCTTTAAGGATGGTGATTGCCCTTAGACAGCAAGAGGGAAATTCAAAAAATGCATGTGTATAGGAAGAAAAGTAATGAATTCTGTTTTGGACATGTGGAAATTGGGATGCCTCCAGTACATGAAGTTTGAAATGTCCAGTAAGCAGTTGGTAATTGGGACCAGAGCTCAGGAAAGATATTATAGGAATGGATATATAGATCCAGGAGTTGTCTACATAGAAACTAACAGAAATTGATAATCCATAAGTAGTACCTAATCATGGTACTGAGGTTGTTAAAATTTAGTATTTGGCTAATTTGTTAGTAGTATGCTAGTCAAATGCCTTTCAAGATAGATCATAAGAAAATGTTCGAAAACAAAATTACTAATATATTTTCTTTTTTCTTAGATGAAAGAAGCTGATGAAAGTACAGGGTCTGGAGATGGGCCAGTAAAATCAGTACGTAAAAGAAGAATAAGAAAAGACTGAAATACTTTCAAGTTTTTTGTAGTTCCTGAAAGAGAAATTTGGCATGCCAGTATAGATTTGCCAATCACTGGACTTAACTCTCCACCTCCTGCTCCATAGCCAGCCTCTTTATTCTTCTTAAATTTTCCTTTAGGCTTCTTTTTGAGGAAGAACACTATTTGTGAAGTTGTGTGGTGTTTTAATTTAGAATAAAAGAAAAATGGCAAGTTGAATAACAGATTTAAGAGGATAATATCATTAGAATTTATTTAGTCTAAGTCACTTGGAGGTATTTTAGTTCTTGAAAACTTGTGTAGCAAATGAATTTGTTCCATCTTCTTCACTGCAATTGGATAGATCAATTTAAGTGTTTCCCATTTAATGAAAATGGCTAAACTACAGCACAACTAGTCAAATTGCCTATTCAAAAGTGGGATAGGGTTTTTTGTTGTACAGAACTAAATGTAATAAAGATATTTTTTGAGTTTGTATTTGGTTCTAAACAATTGAAAGTATTTGTATATGGCCTACATTTAACTAGTTTGTGTCAGTTTATAGTTATGGTCAGTTGTTAAGTGAATTTATTAAATTACTATAAATAAATTACTAAGTAGTAATTTAAGAGGTGCGTTGTTGATAGACAAGTTGACTTGAGTGTCATTCATGGAATCACTGGTTATTGGTGCAACATATTTTACATTTGAATGCAAAGATGTTAAATTTTATTAAGGAGAATGGTATACAGATTAATTTTTCAAGCATTTATAGTTTTGAGCCAGAATGGCCTACTCGCGTTGGAAAAATATTTGCTAAATGTATTTTGCTCTTAAAGTAGAAATGAAAATAAATATTTTTCTTTAAATTATAACCTTTTCAACAGATAAATTATTGTGGGGAAAGCTTCTGAAAATTTCTATTTAGCTGGTCATTCAAGGTGTTAGTGGCTGAATAAGACATCAGTCACAACTACACTTTAAAAATTTTTTCTACTGCCTTTTAAGATTTCAAATCCCTTTCATACCCTGACATTGTCCCCTGAAGTGGGTAGGGGCAGATATTTTATTACCATTTTGACATGTCTTAGATTATAAAGTTATTTGTCCAAATTTTGGACAAACTGAAAGTCAAATATAACTAGTTAATATTAAAGTATCTTTCTATAACTACTTCAGGACTTTTTGCTAAAAGGAACCTTGCAACAATTTCTGTCTGAAGGACCTTGTACAATTTATTTTGTATTCCTTCATGTTTCCCACAAATTTCATTTTTGTACAATGTTCTTAATTCTATTAATGGAAACCTACTTTCCCTTTTTGTTAAAGTAAGCCAAATTTAGCCCTTTGTTTCAAAATAGAAGGTTGAAAACAACTGTCATATACTGAACTGGTGTTTCATATTAATATAGACTCAGTAAGAGATTATAGTGTAGAGTCAAGCCTCCTGATTTTGAAAGGACTTTCTCTAGAGTGTGTTTAATGAAGAATTGTAAATTAAAATCTTTTTCAAAAAGTGAACCTCTACAATTTAAGGGATTATTCACATCCAAATTTTGTGGAAGCTCTTTTGCTGGCATCTATGCCTTATATGTGATTTTTTTTTTAAGTTTTCACTAAAGTTTTATCTGCCTGATTTATAACAGACTTGATTTTTGGTCAAGTTAATGAGCCTACAGAGGCCTGATTGGAGAGAAAATTCTTAGTCTTTAAGTTACTGGATTCAATAGTTATTAAGTCTGTGTACCAATACTTTGGCAATACAGCAGACACAGCCCAAGTTCTGTCATGTTCTTTTATCTTCTAGGGATATATAGCTTTTCTTTTACTGCTCTAACTAGCCTTTTTGTTTTAAAATGGCTTGCATTGCATTCTCTTATAAAATAAAGGAGTAAAATAAGTACATTTTGCTTTTCTTTCGAGTTAGCCTTTAAATGGAGGCTTTTTAACTTAACAAGGATAAGCCTTAGGTAAGTTTTCCTTTAATTCTTTTAAGAATAGCCTTCATTTCATTTAAAGTTACTAATTACAAAAGAGACTGAATTTCACCAGAATATAATCACGTGTATCATTTGCCATATTATTTGAAAAGTTTTTACATGTTTACAAAGTTGAATAGAACATTTGCTAAACTTAACCATTACAAGTGAAATGCACCAGTTCTCTGATATGCTGTTAAGATTACTTAAAACAAGTTACACTGTAGCATATGTGCACAATTTTTATAACTTTTTAAAAAATTTTTTATAATTCAGTTTTAGTTATAACCTTAACCAGAATTATAGAACTGTTTGACCAGATAGCTAATAATCATGTTTCTGTAAATTAACATCATTAATACTTAAACACTAAAAACTAACATGCCTCCTCAAATTGTAGGTCCCTCTACCCCTACTGTTTAACAAAGTGCATTCTGAGGTTTGGGAGGTAAGCTATTCAAGAATTCCTCTTCAGATACAAACATAATCCCTCTTCTTTCTTTTTGGCACTGTGGTATATGATTGGCTCTTAAATGTAATCAAACTAGCATTTCTTCCTCTCTGGCTTTTCCTAGGTCCCACTATAGTCTCAGATTAGCCATTGTAATAAATGGAAAATGTTTTGCAGTGCATTATTGAATGAAGATAAGATCTTTGTCTTGTAAATTTTGTGCGAAAAAGCTTTTATTACATCAATATAGATGTACTTTTCATTTTAGATGTGACAAAAAAGGGAAACTTTCTGACAAAGATGTTTCAAGAAAATTTTGTCATTAAAAAACACATTAGATTCTCAGATCTGTAACCTGTTCTTCAAGCTTAAAGTCTAAAAATTTGCATCAGAAATTAATTCGATGAAAATATAAAACAATGTTCAAATAAGAATAGCATAGTTGCCAAGTTAAAAGTTAATCATTCATTAGGGAGTCAACAACCCTTTTGTGAAAAGGTTGCTTTTGCTTTTCACCTGAAGGAAACCTCATGTTTTACTGAATTGGTGGAGAGATTGCAGTGTTGGTTCTATTGGTGAGTTTTGGGCTAGCACAGTCTGGCCATAACTACAATCTCACTGGAAATGTCTGCAGGCTGAAAGGAATGAGAATGAGGGAACTACAGCCACTGAAGGATCCCTGAGGTACACCACATCCCTGTGGCATGTACTGGACATTTTAGAAAGAAAAAAACTACACACACATTTTGACAACCACATTGACACACACAAAATCAAAAAAAAAAAAAAGCTTTTATTTAACAGAAATTCAGAATTACAATACAATTTTAAGTGTTCATAAATTAGATAAAAGTTCACAAATGGGATGCAAAATGTTTACTTTGACTACTATATATAATCTGTGTATGTGTACACACACACACCACACGCAGCTAAAATCACTTTGTCTAATTTCATATCCATACAAAAAAATAAGATCACTCCTTGATTAAAAGGCTCTAGTCTAATAAAAGGCAATATTGTAACTAACAATAAAGGGCATCTTTCCCTTCACCATAACTAAAACAGTTTTACATTTAATTTTCAACAGACACTCAGATTCCCATGCTAAGTGGAAAAAAAATTATTTAAAAAAATTTTTTTTTACCAAAACATGCCTAAAACCCAAGTAGTTGAGTTTGGAGATAATTAGGGAGAAGTTAAAAAATTGATAATTAACTTGTGCTACAAGCAAAACTCTGCCATTTTAAGCATGTAATACTAATAAACTCTAAAAGATTTTTTGCAAACATTACTTTTTCTGGACACTGGAAACCTTGAAGATTGACATTTGGCTAATGGATAGTCAGGCTTAAACTACTTACGACTCCTATCCGCACTTTCCCCCAAATGACAACCCCACCTGGATCAAAGAGACTAGAGGTTAGGCAGGAATTGGGATGGATTTGGAGTTAATATGTTTGTAGTTTGCTCATATATTTACTTTTGAGATGTAACCTGGAATTATTTTTGTGAAATATATTCCTATTATGATTATGCATTAATTTCTCATATTAAATGAAGGTTCCAAAGAGTTATCTTAATTTTTCTTACTATCATTTGTCTATTTTCTTCAGTTTGTAAGGGGCAAGCCAACAGGCCTAACTCATTAAATTATGATACGTGTCCCAGATGAGAAAAGCTTTTATTTGGTTCATCTTACATAACTAAGATTTGGCTTCTTGTATTTAAATAGGTTTATAAATTAAGTGACCAAATTTTAGGGTAAGTGGTGATGAGAACAAAGGTAACAATGGAAAGAGGCACAAGATGGTTGGCAAGTTAGATAAAGCTATACATTTTAGAATATGATTTTGGTCACTTTTCCACAAAATGGAAGTTATTTTAAGTGATTTACTGTAATGAGTTAGCCATTTGCTTAACCCTACAAATTAAATCCAGTATCGACAAAACATCCATCTTCAAGTTTTCTTAACAAATATATGCAATTCTAATTATAAAGTGTCTACAATACATTTGCACATTTTCAAAGTCTAACATACACAAACTCACTGGCACCTCCAATTATGTTAATGCTCTCAATTCGCCTATGCCACAAACTAACATTTTTTAACTTGTAGAGAGCCTGTGCAGATTGAAAAGGAGAAAAACAAGCAAGCCCAGCAGCAATACCAAGAAGTAAACCAGATACCAACTCCTTACTTCCTTTTGCTTTTTGTGTCAGTTGTTTGGAAAACACTAGATGCAGACATAAGGTTTTCTATATACTGTCCAAGAACTTGGTTTTCTGATTTCAGTTTCAGATTCTCCTCCTTGACTGCATCTACTCGTGCAGAAAGATCTAACCACAAAATTTAAAAACAGCAATAAATTGTTTGAAACAATTCCACATTATTTCACATACCAGTCAATAAATGCTCCATAAATTTCACTGTAATAAACTTCCCTGTTTTCTCATTTCAGTTTTATCTTGGAGACAAAGGAAAATTTGACAAAATTCTTAATTACCTTGTTGACAACCAGAATGGATTTTAGTAAACAAAATTACATTTGCTAACCTAAAAAATCATGCTATTTGAGCAGGCTGTGTTTTGAAACAAGCCGGTAACAGCATAATACAAAAAAGTTGTACTCCCTCCTTTGTAGCATTCTGCAAAGCTTTTTACTTGCAGATAGAGAAATGCAAAGGATAACTGTATTAATAAGTGGCCATTATCATAGTAATACAATGTTCAGATAGGCCAATAATGTACTAGAAAGTAATACAGTATTTTAACATCAAACCTAATTTATTCAAACCATATTGCTTTTTTGATAAGCATATCTTCTCATTTTACCACAGTATACATATTTTACATTAATTCTCAATAGATTCCTATACTAAGCAGAACTACACTGTAATAAAAATTTATTTTGCTAAAATATGCCTAAAATCTCAACACTTGGGCTTATAATTATAAGCAAGTTAGGTAGAAATGTTGAATTAAAAAAACGATGGGTTTAAATCCCAGCTCGGTCATTTTCTAATTATGTGATCATAGGCAAGTCACTTAATCTCTAAACTTCAGTTTCCTTATCTATAAACCGGTGGTACATAACACTTGCACTACAAGACTACCTCACTGACAGCCATGTTGTACGTGAATATTGTCACCACCTTATTGTCATAAAGCTCACATAAACAGGGTGAAGCAGAATAGAGAACCAGTCTTGAAGACTGCAAGGCTTGGGTTCAAGTCACTACTCCAACCCATATGGATTGTGTAACTCTGGACGAGTTACTTAGTCTCTCAATACCCCCACACAAATATTAAAAGTTGCATAGAAAGTGCTGATCTGCATTGGTAGAATTTCTTATTATACCAGTGAAGTTACAGGTTCAGTTCCTATCAGTAAAGTCACCTTATCTGGAAACTATATTAAGTTTAACATCCAACCTTATAAACTTCACAGGTGCCATGCAGCTCCTAACCATACATTCAAATTATGTGAATTCTACTAAAAACTTATAAAATTAAGAGATTTTAATAATAAAAATCATAGAGATTAAATGTCCCATGTAGTCATCTTTATTTTCTACATTTGAGAAAATGGAGAACATAGTGATATCTACCTTTTCCCCAATTTTCCTAGGAAAAGGTATACATAGGTGTTAGTGAAAATACCCATCTCTCATGGACACTGAGAAATATTAATACGAAGAACACGAAAAAGGGAAAAATATTTGTTGAATATAATTTTAAAAAATCTATATAATTTAAAAAATCTAGCTACATCTTTCGTGTAGGACAAAACAGGAAACGGTTCCAAATACAAGACAAAATCAAGAACTTAATCCAATAAAAGTGGACATTGAATTTACGAAGCATTTTTATGTATTATTTCTTTTGAGCCCCACAACAACCCTATCAGGTAGTACAAGGTAGTATTATTACCTCTATTTTGTGGATAAAGAAACTGAGGCTGACTCATCTCTGGTCACTCAACTGGTAATCAGTCAGCATTGAATTTTATCTCAAGTCTCTCCTGACTCAAGTCTCAACTCTCTTTTTACTATACCTCTCTATATTTAAAAGATATGCCTTTTCCTTCTGCCCAAGTAGCTAATGATGACTTATGAAGGAGGAGGAGAAAGTAAGCAATGCCTCCCACAACAATTTATATTAAAGGTCTTTTTTGGTAGGGTCTTTAAGGTATTCACCTAATATTCTCTACAGTGCCAGTGAATGCACTGTTGACTAGATTTCATTTAATAAAATTACAATATGCAAGTTTCTAACCTTCAAGTGTGTGCTGCAGTTCCAACACCTGATTAATGAGTCGTGTTTTCTCTTCCAATTCCACCTGATTCTCAGCCTCAACAGCTGTGGTTTAAAAAAAAAAAAGATACTAATGGCTATGGAGCAAAATCAGCCACTAAACAATGAACCAGCATAAAAGTAGTTACCATACCATCCATGTCAGCATTCATCATCCTAGAATGTAAACTTTCTCTTGAATATAGTGTCCTTGATGAAAATTCTGCAATCGGAAAAAAAATAAGAGGCAGGTAATTGTAAAAAAGGTGGTTGGTTTATTTATTGCATCATATGACTATGTAAGAGGCAGCCTAGCAAAATAATTAGAAAGCTGGCCTCATAGCCAGGAAGACTTGGGCCTCCGATGATGGGCAAATCATTTAACCTCTTAATGTTTCTAGGCCAGAGACAGTAAACACACAGGCCACAACACAACATAGCCTGAACCAGATTAAAATATAATTGGTAAATAGTTAACAAAATAAATATACAATAAAATAGAGAATACATTTTAAAACTAAATATGCAGCCCACAGGGGACCTTATGTACAGTTTACTTGACCCCATCACTGCTCTTTGGCAACCCTCTAAGACTTTAAGTTTCAGAGAAATTGCTGTCTTTCCTTGGTAGATGGTTAGTTCATCTGGGAATTCACTATACCAGTGAATTTGGAAGTCCAGTCCCTATCCCTATCCCATCATATGACCAAACAAAGGTCCTTTCACTCATGAATATGGGCTGTTTCTATACAAAGGCCCAAACAAATATGGGGGGAAGGGAGAAAAGAGGGAATGAATCTTGAATACTGATTCAGCTTTGTAGTCTTTGGCAGAGGATTCAGTATTGTCAAAAAAGCAATATGGCTTGAATAAACTAGAGTTGATGTTAAAAATATTGCATTATTTTCTAGGCCATTATTGGCCTATCTCAGCATCATGTAAATGTAATAATAGTCACTTTTTGATAAATTTATCTTTTGCCAGGAAAGAACAAAGCAGCATCAAAGAGCCATCCATCTCAGGTCCCTTGGAGAGTTCCTCTGCCATAGAAGGCTGCCACTTGGGCATTATCCTCACTGTCACTACATATGTACTTTAACAAATACTACTTCAATAGAGACAAGGGCAGGAATGAATGCTGTAAACTTCTAATACAAGTGGTGCTCTTGTGTATGGTTTTAAAACTAAAATAAATATGGTTTGGTGTATGGGGAGGGGAGGAATATATAATACAAAGCAAGGTAATCCAAAATTCATATTTAGGAAATGCATTATATTTGCCCTATTTTTCCAGTATAAAATTAAAATTAGGCTTCAGTCACTAAGCATATAATGTCTGTCAGAAAGGACAAAAGATTTATAACACGCCAGATTGTAGGGAAATAGTTGCCAGGAAGGAAAGTGAGGTCTTAGCCTCCCCCCTTTCTTAGAAAGCCTGTACTTAACCTACTATCCCCTCAAACTTTCTATTTGGGTTTTTCCAATGCTTTCTCTCTGATCTTCTCCTGCTCATTTGTCCATTCCTTATCAGTGACCCTTTGCCAGATCACTATCCCTGTCCCACCCTCTGTGTAGAGAAGTAACCCACCAATCTGTCTTGGACCTCTTCCTCTCTACATCCTCGGTGATTTCATCAGCTCCCATAGATTCCACTAACCCCTGTAGACCTGGAAGAGACTCTGGTGATTACTTAGCCGAATGCTCTAATCTCACAAGTGAGGAAACAGGCCCAGAGAGGTGGCAGAGCTCAAATCCTGTGACTCCCAAGCTTCGTGATCTTTACATCATCACTCCCACATATACACATCCAGCCCTAGTGGGTCCTGAGCTTGGGTCTCATGTTACCAATGGGATGGAGTTCTGTAGGCTATTTATTCTCAACATCTTCGAAACACTCCCCCTTTTTCCTAACTTTGATAATTCTGCTGAAAGTACCACCATCCTTCCAGCCACACAGATTTACAACCCTGGAGATATCAATGCCACCCTATCCTTCACTTCTCCCTAACCAATTGTCAAGTCTTATCAATTCTATCTCAAGATCTCTCCCTTTCTATTTATTTACATGGCCATCACCCCTGGCCTGGACCATTACATACAATCATCTAATCCACCTCCCTTTAGTCTCTTTCCTTTCTAATACAACGGATAATAATCCATGCAGCTGCCAAACTGATGTTACTAAAGTATAAATGAAATCATGTCATTTTTTTCTCTAAAGAAGTTCCAGTGGCACCCAACTGCCTTTATAATGAAATATAAACTCTGGCATGTAAAGCCCTTTACAGTCTGGCTCTGGCCTACCTTTCCAGATTTACTGCTCCTTACTCTTTCACATATGCTCTATATAGGCAAACTGGTCTATTTGCTGTTCCCTGTAAAAGTCATTCCATTTTTCATCTCCATGAATCTGTACATTGTATCCCACATGCCTGGAATTTATTCCCTCTTATAATCCCTAGCTTCCTTCAAGGGTCAGCTGAAGTGTTACTTCCTGTAGTAAGCCTATCATATTATGTTACTAGTTCCTTCCCCTACCAAGAAATTAATTTGTATATATTTTGTGCTCCCTTATGTGTTCATGTTGTTTTCCCCCAAAGAATATACACTCCTTGTGGGCAGAAATGGTTTCCTTTTCTCAGCTCTTAGTACGGTGCTTACTGAATGAACTGAGTAACATTTAAGTTTTATCACTGATTATTCCCATATGGGAAAATTCCAACAAACTGACTTCAGAAAAAAAAAAAACTGTTTACAAACAGAAAAGTCAGTCAACAAGCATTTATTAAGTGCCTACTATGTGCAAGGCACTGTACTAAGTGGTGTGGATACAAAGAAAGGCAAACAAAACAGTCCTTGCTCTTAAGGAGCTCCATTCCAAGGTTAAAAGGAGTCAGAGTTGTAAAAAGGAAGTGTTTTTTTTTTTGTTTTGGTCAGTCATCTTTCTTCTTAAACTGGGCCAGAATATTTTGGTTGTATGACAAGAGACAAGTGCATAATCTTCTGTAGTGGTTGTCTTTTGTGACATGATTCAACAATTGGTTTGAATATGTCATGTATAGCATTTTATGTGTTCAATATCCTTTGGTAATTCTGAAGGCAATTGCAATAGGCTGTACTATTCTACTACTTAGGATCACAGGATCAAGGATAAAAGAATTAGAGCTAGAAGGAACCTCAAACCCAAGTCCATCTCCTTTATTTTAGAAATCAAGAAAGCAAGGCCCACAGAGATTAAGTGGCTTGCCTCAAGTCCCCTACATACTAAGTGGCAGAGCTATAAATGAACCTTCTGAGACCAAGTCTTTTTAACTCATAGTAAACTTATCTGCAAAATTACATATGAGTATTTTTGCCAAAAAATCAGGCTTAATATAGCTTTGTGTGTGTGTGCATCTTCCACAGTGATCATCAGCTCCCACAATGCTAAATTAATAATCACTACAATGAGACAGTAAGGTCCCTGAGGCCCAATTCTTCCTTCACTCTAACATATAAATGGGAAATAGTCTGATAGAGAATTCAGATCAATTTTTCTCAAATCCAAGGAAACATTAATTCTAAGATGACTTTGGAATTTTTGGATCTATCCCAGGATGAACTATGGATGTTTAAATTCAGGACTCCTGTGGTCATTTTGGAACTGTTCTGGATAGCCTTGAACTCCCAGGTCTGTTTTGGAACTGAACTGACCTTCTCTGGTCCTTCCAATCAGGTATGAAGACCTGCTATAGGTTTTCTCAACCGTAACTCTCATGTCCACTTTCAGCCAACCCTAGGTACCACACAATAACTCAAAATCAAATTACCCTTGATAGCAGAAGGTACTGAACACAAGTTCAGGAAGAGAGAGAAAAAGCAATAGTATAATCTATTTGTGACACTGAATTCAATTCCCTATCTGCCCATAAATTCCACAGCTAAATAAATACTGCCACCCCTTCTAAAACAATAGTCTATACTATTTTCCAGTATCACTAAGTCTGTTATCTTTTAAAGCACTATAAACTTCCTATCACTGCTTTCATAGGAAATGCTATAGCTAAAAAACTCTAGGTTACCATCCACATATTAGTATGTTTCTCACTGATTACTTCTGTAATGACTTTTCCCCATTTTACTCCCAACAATTGGCACACTTGCTTTCATTCTAATTCAATTTTATATCCACACTCTATCCTCATCTCATCTGTTATAATCAGTTACAAGGTACATTGAGCCATCATCTGGTCCAGCCTTCTCATTTTATAGTAGAGAAAGCCAGCAGTCCAGGGAAGAGAATTGATTTGCCCAAGGTCACCCAATTACTGTGTAATAGAAGTTTTGCTATAACCTGTCTTTTGACTCAGTCCAGTGTCCTTTCTGCCACACTAATGCTACCACCTTTCACTTAGAGGCAAAAGATAAGATGTTGGCATAAACTGTAATATGGGCCTAACATTATTTAGCCTGACAGTTTATATGTACTCTGTCTCCAACTTATTTTTCCCTTCAAATGTAAAATTATAATACCAAAATTTGCCTTTTTAAAGTTCCTCACTTTTAACACGGTTAACCTCTCTCCCTGAACAACTGCTATTAGCTTCACCTAGGTCCCTCTTTTATTGTGGCTCTAGTTTCAAATTTCAGACAGAGCAAAGCAGAGGGATCTGAGGAGTTCATCAGAAGTGCCATAGGGAGGCACTTTGTGTTAACAGCTTAAGTGTCATAGGATTTAGACTAGAAGAGCCTTTCCTCTAGTCAAACGCCCTCATTTTTCGGATGAAGAAATAAAATTCACTAGCAATGCTTTTGTTCAAGGTCAAAACTTGAAGTAGGTTCCCTGCCCCAAATACAACGAGAATTCCCTAGCTGTGGCAAACGCTCTGAATGGAAGGGCTGGTGAGCACCTGCCTCCCCTCAGGAGGGCCTAGAGAAGTCAGTCATCCAGTCCGACAAACAGTAACAACAACGAGAGGCAGCAAAGGCCAGTGGCCGGGCAAGGTAGCCTGGACTGCAGCCAAGGTCAGGGAACACCCTACCTCCTACACGAACGAACCGTGCGGCCAGATTACCAGGCGGTTAGGAGTGCTGGGCTTGGAGTCAGGAAGACCCGAGTTCAAATTCGACCGCTTAACCCGTCTCCCTCAGTTTCCCCAGCTGTAAAATAGGGATAATAGCAGCACCTACCTTCGAGGGGTGGTGTGAGGCTCAAATGAGACATCTGTAAAGTGCTCACAGTGCCCGGCACACAATAGGCGCTTAATCAAAGTGGTTTTTGGTTTCTTTTTCCCCCTTCCCTCTCGGGCAAGCCATTTAGGCTCTGACAGCCTCACACGGCTCTCAGATTGCTAGGCTACAGAGCGGATGCAGATCTGCATCGGCGACAGCTGCTTCCTACCCCACCGATCGGGGTGTCGTGACAGCGGGAACCTTTCTCGGCCTGTCACGTGCTCCCTTGCTCCTCACCAGCACCGCCCGGTACAGGGAGGGTCTACAATCCCCATTTTGCGGATGAGGACAATGAGGCCTAGAGCGGGATTTTCCACCTGCAAAAGCCGCGGGAGCTCTTTCCAGGCAGGGCTGGAGGCCGGTGCCCTATCGCTCGCAACCTCCGCGCCCCCGCCTCGCAGCCCCTTCCCCCACCCCCGGAGCCGCCACGGCCCTCAGCCGCCCCCCGCCCCCCCGCCTCTCTCCCGAGCCCGGCTCGGCCCAGTGCCGGCGACTCTCGTCAGCCCGGCTTGCCCAGTCAGTCCCCACGGCCTTCAGCGCCTCGTGCTGAGCACAGCCTCCGCCCAGGGCCGGTCCGGCCCCAGCGGGGCCTCACCTGCCGCCGAAGGCGCCGGTAGGGGGAGGGATCACACCACGCCGAAGTCTGGAGCCCAAGCCGGAACCCAACAACCAACACCAACGACCCCGCCTCCGCCGCCACTAAGCATGCGCCCACCGCCGGGGCCCTGCCCTCTCCCTTTCCCGCCCTCCCCACGCCGCTACTACGCCGGCGCCGGTCTGCCTCTGCCTCTGCGCCTGCGCTTTGGCTGACTGACGCCCCTCGCGGCGCCTTTACCAGCAGTCGCTGGTTCAGGAAGCTACTCCAGCTCCCGACCCTGATGCCCAAAGCTCGGGCTAGGGAGGAGGGAGAGGAAAGAGCGAGGCACTAAAGAGGGAGCGGCAGGCCAATCAGGAGAGACGACGGGGGCGGGGCGAGCCGGGGCGGAGGGAGGTAGGAAACGGGCTGGGCCCGTGGTGATGCTCTCAGAGGCACCGGGACCTGTCCGAGGTCTTGAACCCGGAGCTCCTGGGCCTAGGAAAGTCACCGAATCGCCCTGGGCTTCAGAACAGCTGAACTGACCAGGCGGTTAGGAGTGCTGGGCTTGGAGTCAGGAAGACCCGAGTTCAAATTCGACCGCTTAACCCGTCTCCCTCAGTTTCCTCAGCTGTAAAATAGGGATAATAGCAGCACCTACCTTCCAGGGGTGGTGTGAGGCTCAAAAGAGATATCTGTAAAATGCTCACAGTGCACAGTGCCCGGCACACAGTAGGCGCTTTATCAAAGTGGTTTCCCCCCCTCTTCCCTCTCGGGCAAGCCATTTCGGCTTTGAAAGCCTCACACGGCTCTCAGATTGCTAGGCTACAGGGCGGATGCAGATCTACATCGGCGAGCAGAGCGAAGATGTTTGATTGGGAAGGCGTCTGAGGCTCCATCCTGCTCCAAAGATCTGGTCCTATGATTCACCCCCGGGCCTCAGTTTCCTCCTCCTGGGCGCTTTCCACTACCTTGCGATCTCAGCAGCTGCTTGTCAGAAACGAAGTCCGTTCAGCATCAGGGGTGCGATTCAGTGAATGCAGCCCGCCCCACTTGGTATCTTAGGAGAGGAGGTTTTTGTGTTTTGTTTTGTTTTTGCATTGACTGCAAGAATTTGCATCTATTGCCAAAACTAATCTCTCTCTGCTAAAAGGGGCACAGTTGAAAATCCCAGGGCTCCCCACAGTGTCCTCCCTTGCCCAGCCAGAGGGGATCCTCCGACCAACGGGAATCGTCAAAGTCAAGAAATATGTGCGGGGCAGAGCAGAATGACTACAATAATATCAATAGAATCCTAGACTTAGACCAGGGTGGACCTAAAAAGGCACCGAGCAGACCTCTTGATCTTGGAGAGTGGAAGAAACAGACCTAGAGAGAGAGATTGAGTGGCTTGCCCGAATTCAGGCACGTTTTATAAGTAGCAAAGTTGATATATGAAGGCAGGGCCTCTCACTTAAATTCCTGCACTCTCTCCAATGCAGGAGGAAACTGATAGCAGAGAAAGAAGCTAAATGACTTACTTGCCCGTTCTCATGTGGCTGGTATCTGTCAGAGACGGAACTTGAACCTCTATCTTCCTGATTCCAAGGCGGCCGTCTATCCACTGTGTCAGTGGCTCTCAAAATGAAGTCTGAAGATCTCTGGGGGTCCCTGAGCCCCTTTCAGGGAGTTCATGAGGTCAAAATTATTTTCATAATAATACTAACGCATTTTAATTTCTAATATGGCAAATATCCATAGGGATAACCCACATGAACAAAAGGTTTTTAGGGTGTTCTCAATAATTTTTAAGAATGGAAAGGGGTTCTGAAACAAAAAAAAATTCTAACTACTGCACTATACCATGCTGACCATCATTCTAATTTTACAGATGAGGGAAACTAAGACTCTGACAGGTTGGGCATTTTTGCTGTAGTTAGTAATTGGGGCAGTTTGAATATAAAGTCAGCTAGGTGGCCTAATGGATAGATTGATGAACCTGGAGTCTGGAAGACTTCAGTCTGACCTCAGACACTTCCTGTGCCTATATACACTAGCTTGTATGACCCTCTGTCTGCCTGAGTTTCCTCACCTATAAAATCGGGATAATAATAGCACCTGAGAAGGTTACTGTGAGGCTCAAGTGAGATATATGAGCATTTTGAAAACTTTAAAGCACCATGCAAATAATAGTTATTATTAAGTGGGATTTTGGCACAATCTGTGAATTCAACAGTTCCAGATAATAATTTGGAATTGTACAAGAAAAGTTACTAAACTGTTCACACCCTTTAACCCAGTGATCCTGCTATTGACCAGGTACCAAAAGAAGGTCAAAGGCAAGTCTAACATATAGGTAAATGCTAACGGCACAGCACTTTTTTGTGGTAGAGAATTGTAAACAAAGTCAGTGCCCATCAGTTGGGGTAATGGATGGTAAAGTCTAGTGCAGTTTTTTTAAAGGATCGGGAAACAGGTTTATTTGACGGTAATAGGAAAGGAACCAGTAGTTACAGAGAAGTTGGAGATTTTAGATAATTGGTGATACAGACTACAGGAGAAGATAGGAGAGGATGGGATCAAGTACTTATATAAAGAGATTGACCTTGGCAAGTTGAAGTACCACTTCCTTATCAGACACTGGGGGAAAGGAAGAGAAAGTGGAAAAGTGAAGGGATTTTGAGATGCATAAAATAGGAGAAGAAATCATTTCAAATGACTTCAATTTTCCTACATTCACAGATGGTTAGTTGTTTCTGCTTAATTGCTTTTTTTTTTTTGTTTCAAAAGAAGATTAGAGGGGGGAAAGGGGAAGGAGTAATTAGACCTTGGAGGAAAGGTAAAGGGGATATGTAAACTGAAATGACTTTAATGAAAAGCAAAGGGCATCAATAAAACATATACCAAAAAATGATGAAGATGCTGTGGACAATCCTGCCACAGGCTGAATAATTTCCTTCTAGGCACAATTGTACATAATGTGGCCTGATTTTTTTTTGTAAGTTTGTTCATTAAGATATTTCAGTACTTTGATGGATCTATGATCAAAATAATTTGGGACCTTCCTCCATAGGCGCAAATCACAATACATACATACATACATACATACATATATGTGTGTATACATATACAGACACACACACACATATATATGTACATATATATGTACATATATATGTCTTTTCATCCTATGATTTTCTTATCCTGTTCTCCATAAGTCCCTACAAAGAATCCTTTGAATGCTCTTGGTATTTTATTATAACTGGCTTTAAAGAGATTTATTATATCTCATGTATTCAAGTAGTCTCTGTAGTTATATCTCCTATCCAGTTTAATCTGTCTATTCATTTAAGGCAGAAAGTAAAACATTCAACTGAAGTGAAATCTGGGATAGATTACAATATAAATATAAATATAAATATAAATCAAAACAAGTTACTTTTGGCTTATCATAACCAAACCTGTGTTTCTAATTCTTCCAGGAAGCATTATCTCTTTAAACAACCTCGGACAGGCATTACCCATGACTCCTATCTGATTGAAAAACTTATGTGCCATGATACCATATGGGGGACTTCTTTCTTCCTGTCCATCTTTATGACTGTCCATCTTTCCCTCTGCCACCAACTGGGTTCTTTCCATAGCACCTTGACTACCACAGTCATCCTTATGAGTTCCCTGTCTGCTGGTATTAGGAATATAGATATACTTTACTGTAAACAACCCCACAGTGTTGTGTCTGTATCTGTGTGTGAGTAATTAAAATGGAACCCTCTGGAGAATTTGCAGTCTTACCTTGCATAACCACAGGTGCTAAAGGTTTCAAATGCTTTGGGATGATGAAGCAATTACCCTACTGGTCTCTTCACCAAAGAGGGTGTCAGAAGAGGGCCTGTATTATTTTAAGAAAGAAAGACAGCTTCTGACTCAGCCTTTTTCTTTGAGCTTTCCTGTGTGCCAAGGAATTCTTCCTCACTAGACTTCTTGTAAAGGGATGGAGGATCAGCAGCATTCTTCTATGAGCATATGACATTCTCAAAGAAATGTATGACTAACAAAGAAGGTAGGCCAGCCATGGATTAAGAAGGAGGAATAAATGTCAATGGAAAGAACAATACTACAAAACAATTGAAACTGAATGTTGTAAAATTATAAAAAATAAGTTTGCCCCCAAAGAGGAGAGACATAAGGGGACTCCTTTCCTTCTGCTCATTCTCCTTTGCAGAGGTGAGGGTACACAAGTGTGGAACATTGCATATAATGTCATATTTTTCTTTTTAAAAATAATATTTTAATGCATTTTTCCCCTTCTAAAAAAATTTCTTTTGTTCTAAAGGATGGCACTCTGGGAAGAGGGAGGAAGAAGAATACAAAAGGGAAATCTAGATGGTGTAAAAACAAAAGCTAGCAATATAATTTATTTTAAACAGATGACAGGTGGACAGTCTGAGTGCTATGCTGGTCTTTACATAATATTAAAAGACTTAAAGAAACACCTCCAATATCATGAAATTTAAAATAAATGATTCTTTATTAAGGAAAGTCTGGTTGTCAAAATTGAGAAGACATGTAGATTTATATTTCTGTCAAAGAAAGGACAGAGGAGCTTAGTGACAGATTTGTGAAGAGGAACTGATTTAGTCTAGGAACCTTTAATGTAATACAATGAAGCATATTTGTGTTATGTGGAAAATTGGTTTTGCTCAGTATTCTGGTTAGCTTAGGTATTTTTCAATTCATGTACTTTTCCAATTTTGAATTATTATCCTTAATTCTTATTTGTAGCTCTAGTAGTTCAAAAGAGCCATGGTTTCAACTGAAAATATGCCATT